AGCTATTTACCTTGACAGGGCATTTACTTTGATAAACTGATGCTGAAAAGTTTAATTTGTAATGCAAAAATTATTCCGTGTTTGTATAAAATAGGTAGTTTTTTTGTTACAAGTACCTAAAATACAGTTCTTAGTTACAAACAATATTTTTTACTTACAGCTGTCAAAAACAGCAACGATTAGTCCGTAAAAACTGTTTTTATGTACTAGTCCGACAAAATCTTTTAGATCGAGTCCGAAAAAAATTCATTTTATGGACTTAAATATGTCTGTAAAATACATAACTATATATTTTTGGGAGCCTATGCATGTAGAGTATTTTTTTACTTTAAGTATCTCTTTCTTTGAACCGACGTTGTCAAATTTGTATCTATAGTTCAACAATGTAATAACTTGGGGATGCACAATTAGGTGTGCTTCGAAGTGGAGGGAAAGTTCAATATATCTGTGTACAGTACTTTAATTTTTTTTTTTCGAAATCATTTCTTCAATATTTAAATTGAAGTGAAAGAAACCTAATAAGTATGTAAATATGATCTGCCAATTTAATGTTTTTATCGCAGACTTCGAAAAGCGTGATGTGTTAACTGTCTCAAAAAATTAACCTTAAGAACAAAGGTCAAGATCGTCTAACAAAATACGTATTAGTACTATTTACAGTGGTTTATTGTCTTTTGTATACCGACTGGAAATAATTAAAGATTACAATGGATGAATAACATTTAAATTATTTACTGAGGGAATGTCGTGTTCGACAGGAGATATAATGTAAAATATGGAAACTATTCAAGGAACAAATATCAGGAATTTAATAAGAACTAATAATACAACGTGACTAAAAATATTTGGCATCAAAGGCGACTTTGAAATTTCAAGAAAATGTACCGTTTTGTATGAATTATTATGTTATGAGCTTTTTGCAATCGACATGGCAGTCAACCCCAATCATTTAACTAATTAGTTACTCACAATTATAGTAAATTAAGTAAAAAAGCGGCAAAATAATTAACATAAGAAATTCCAAAGCAGCCATTGATACCAGAATCATTTAGAGAAACTGTGTATTCTGCATTTATAAACCAGTGGAATAATAATAGGTCAATTAATTTTCGTGACTGCTGCTTTCGTTGGTATTTTATACCACTCATGACGCTATTAATTCCCGAACTTTGCAGCTATGTTTTTTTTTTAATTTGGCACTTTTGAGCTGCCTTCATCCTTCACAATTTTTCGAGTTAGTTACACTTATTACATAAAATAAATGTTTTTTGAGAAATAATAATGAATAACTCATTACATGTAGAAATATCACTGTAAAAAAGTGGCATTTCGTCCGGTGGACTCGATTACTATACTTCCTTAGCTTTCGCTCGGGAAGTAAAAATGAAAACTATAATACAACGTAAGCACTTTAAATACAAAAAGTCATTGTTCTCAAAAAAGAAAAACGTGTTATATTCCACTTTCCACTTGAAAATATGATTTCGTAACTGAAAACTAATGTTACCCAAGTGAATACTGTTAGAGAAAGTTTTATTAGAAAGTGTTATTGGTTTTTGAAATTTTTTAATCTACTTCATAAATAGCTTCTACGTAATTTGTAGGAAAATGGCATGAGGTAATATAATACATAGTAAGTTTTATTTATTTGAGTTTGATATTTTTCCCTAAGGAAGAAGGATCACTTGATATGTACTAACACAAACATGAATCCGTTATTGATCAGACGACACCGAAAATGTCAGCAAACTGTTAATATGATTCGACAGCTTTACTGTCACCCTTTTAGTTTAGTCCTAGAAAACGACAGCGTAGCTGGTGAAACACATAAAATTCCTCAGTGAAAACCCCAACAAAACCACAAAACGTACTAAACGTAACTTTAAAAATTGGAGTAAATATTTAACGAGTTAAAATTACCAATCACTCGAACAGAGCGGCAGCGGTAAACGAATTATCCAAAAACGGAATCAACCAACAAAGTTTAATAGAAATTACAGCTCCTGACATTTGAGTTCGAATTCAATAAAGCCATGCTTATAATTGAACAAAGAACATCACACTGAAATAATAAAATCGATATGGCAAACATTAAAGGTCCATGTACTTCAGTAACCAATCAAGAAATGGAAATCGATCGTGAGAAAAAAATGTGTGCAATAATTCTGTACTTTTAATTGTTGACAAAGATAAATTTAAGCGTTTTTCTTAAAATGTCCTAAAGTTCTCGTTAAAATGCAATTTTATTATTTTATATGTAATTATAATTATTGACAAATGTTGTTCAAGTAAATAGAAAAGTGATTTGTTCTGGAACAAATTGTTGTTGTTTTTAAATTCAAAATTAAAATTAGGGGCAGCGAGAAAAACGTAGAAAGAATTTTTTCAGTAAGTATGTACTGTGATTCAAAAGTTACAGCGAGAATTTGTGGACGACGTAGGTCCGTGTAGAAAAATAAACCAAAGAAAGGGCGTTCTTCAATTTGCAATGGATGGAAAATTAAAAGAGTAAAAGATTTTGCCCAAAAAAACCTTAAAACACGGTAGAGAGAACGTGACTGCATGCTGAACAGATTTCAAAGACGTGCTTACAAAGAATTTTGCACAAAAATTCATGAGCCACAGAACATTAAAATTATCAAATTACTCAGAAACGGTTACTTGGCTTCTTTAATAAGGAATTACATTTTTATATTTCAGAGTATGTTGATGAAAAGTTTTGGTTATCTACAGTCATGAACATAATCTCTAAGAACTTTTATGCATATTCACTGGATTCACAGGAAGTTACCGTATGATGTGGGACGACGTTTTCGAATAATCTGTTTTGTAAAAATGAGGAGAGAAATACCGTTATATAACTACGGTGCCGCAATCTTAAGAGCTTGTCTAATCATCAAATGGGCAAATTATAAAAATGAAATGCGGTATGAATTTAGTGGGAGTGAGCTTACTTATCATACTGTTCAGGTTTGCGTAAACAAAATTTAGAATATATTTTTTGGTTGAATGACTTCACGGATAGATAATGTTAACTGGTCTAGTCCTTTCACACCACAACTTTAGGGATTTTAAAAAATTTGAATGTATGTAACCAACATGGAAAGAGTTCTTTATGGGACATCATTTTTAAAAATAGTTTCTTGATTCAACAAATTGTTGTCATATCTAAAAGTCTACATGCCAGGTGAAATTGATGACATTATTGGTAGAAGAAAACAGTGTATCATACTGCCCACTAGTGATAAATAGATTTTCGAAGAAAACATGTGACATTTTAGAAACTTCTTTAAAGATTTTTTGACAATGAATCTCAGTAGAATATATTTTTGGAAAAATAAATACTTGGTTATTCACTTTTACAGCTTGTTGTACTCGTAATATTGCGTTTATATAGGTTTGGAACAATTCTAATTTTCTTGAAAAAATAATCATGCAACCGAAAAACTCGAAAATATTTGTTGGCGAGGAGGTCACAAATTTTTGTATGAAGCGCCTGACAATAAATACCTGCTAATAAAATAAAGGTTTGATCATATAACTCTATTTTACCTGGTAGTCTAAAACACACTGTTCTGTTTGTAGGTCACTATTAAAATGGGTATTGGTGGAGGCTGCAAAACAGACGAACTGTTGAGAGTGGAAATAGATCATATAGGTAGAGCACAGAGTCTTTGTAATTATGTGTTCGTCACACTTAAACAAAAAAATCGCGAGTATTTACCATTTGATGAGCAAAAGAAGTCGATTAGTTATTTGGGACTGTACAAGAAGTACGCCAGACTAAGACCACAAAATCTATTTATAAATTACAGAAAGAATAAATGAATAAATATAATAATAAATAATTATTATTTCGGTCATTTTATCGAAGAAGAACACAACAAATCTATTAATCGGAGAAACACTTCAAACTTCATCCATGTCAGCTCAGAATGGTTCTAATTTTGGCCCCTTTTATAATTGCACTGTAAATATTTCTTGTCGTTCCGATTCCACACATGTTAATAAAGTTACTAAGTGATTTGTATTGGTATTTTTTTTATTTATTGATCAAGAAAAGGATCAACATTTTATTAATTCGTCATGTGATATTTGAGGGATTAAAAATTCATTTGATTAAAAATTTTTTAATACATCTCTAGAGCCGGTTTATGGAAAGCGAATTAAAAGTTAATTCACGATTAACTTTTAATTGAGGTCCGTTGCTAGCAACGTGCATGTTTTAACCAATCACGGGCTTATTTTATCCATTTTAAATATGTAATTCGCTTCCCATAAACCGGCCCCTTAATCTGAAAATAACATTTGAGAGACTATTTTTCTAAAAATAGGCTTTGTATGATTTTATTTCTTTTTTTAATTGTTTGATTTTTCTGTTTTGGAGTTAAATTAATGACGACAGATTCAAAGTTCTTTATTTTTATTAATTTACGTTGTTTGCTATTCACAAAAGATAGAAAAAATACTTTCAGAGGTCTGGAAAAACCTCCCAAATTAATACTGCACAACTCCTAAGGGCTTTCTGGACTGTTTCCAGAGGTTTTACGGTTGTAGGTGAATATCAGAAAACTTAAAGTTATTATCTCGCTTATGTATGGTTTCCACAAAGTCGCTCTGTTTAGCTGGAGTCCAGAATGTACCTACCTTAGTACGCTTCTTCTGGTAAATTTTCTAATAATTCATCATTAGACATCATCAGTGGTGTCAAAAAAGTCAAAAAAGGGGTCGATTATCCCTACATTAATTTTAATAATAGAAAGAAATTTTTTATACCTCTTAGGCTCACTAGACAGTTCAAATTTTTTTGTACATGTATTTCAAAAACAACCTGTGTAAGTGTACATATAATTTCACATTTACTAGACACGAGTAAATTAGGAATAAAACCTAACAAAATGCTACTTTTACTTTATTTTCTATGAGAAAAAGTAAATTCCATGTGAGTGAATATAATCTTAATTTTCCGATTATAGAAGTATATAGGATGTAATTTAAACAAAAATTTAGTGTGTTGTTTGTAAAATGACAGTATACGTTCCCTTCCAAAAACTATTCATAAGTTTGATTGATAGTTAATAAGGCACTTATTTTTCCAGATCATTAGTTTAATTTACCCTGCTCTAACCTTTACATAACTAAACACACCCACTGACAGAGGAAACTTTTCTCTGCAAAAATGCACAATCTAATCGTTTTGTCCTTGTTGTTTTTATTTATTTGAGTATACGTTCGATCAAAAAATTTGCTCGTAAGCAGAGCACGGTGGAAAATATACCTCAAACAATCGTCCCGGCAAATGTGTCTTACTGTTCGCGCCTAATATCAATCTGTATTGAAGGAGGTTACATTGAACCCGAAATCGAGATAGCCGAAGCTACGCTGTCCAATGCCCGAATATAGTTTACTACTTTGAGGTGCGCCGGACCGTTACCGGAAAGGTGTATTTTCCTTCGCGCTTTGCTGCTCGTAGTACAAATTCTAAATTAAGAAAAAATCAACAACTTTACTTGCTGCTTCTGGAAGGCGATATCAGGCCAATTAAAAGAAGGATGGAAGTCCACCTCCACCTGTAGATGAGTAGATAGAGAATTGAGTTCATAGAAAATGGGAGTTTCAAAAAATTACTTAAGGAAATAGTAAGATAATAACGGAACTATTATCCTTTTGAGACACACGAGCGGCAGTTCGCATCATTTGCAAAATTTTGTCGCCTCTAGACTTGAAGTAACGTAGATACTGCGTAGTTTTCTGCTATTAACCACTAGTTTTACTTAATTCAGTTTAGTGTAATCAAAGATCTTCCAATTAGGAGATTTCTTCTTGTCAAGAGTTGCAATTTATTCTCTAATTTTAGAAGATCCATCCAACCGGACACTTTACTTATGTACATTAATGCTTTTATCTGTCTCGCCACGAGACGACACGATATAAATTCTGAGCTTTATATTGAATGAAAACTCGCATATTATTTTTTCTTACAGTAGTTATCACACTTAATTAATAATACTTTTATTTCCGTTAATTTTTGGATTTGTATTATGGGAACTTGTACAGTATACAAACTTAATACTTAATACAAAGAAACACAAAATATCTAGTTCTGTATAACAGATTTTTTTTTCGAGTGGTCGAGATTCGACAACATAATTAATTTTAAAATTATATTATTAATTTACGAAACATTTTTAGTTAATTGACTATATTTAACAAAGAAGCCATAAAATGCAGCTTCTAAGAGATTTTTGTTCATTGACGGACGTAGTAATATGCGACCATATTTGAATTGTCACATTTAGATGTTCGACTATAAATAATTAATGTTTACACAGAAGTCTTAAAATTGGTATTAACATCAGCCTTTAGTAAATCGACGAGGAACATTGCCGAAGCAGTGAGATTTCACACATTATTAAAAAACATAAGGTACATGTTAATAAATACAAATATTGTGTTTGTTGTTGTCTAAATTTAAACATATGGCTTTATCGTCTATTATTAAAAAAATATAATTTAATAAAACTCTGTATATATGGTACATTTTCACTTATATACACGCACAACAAGCAAGGAGAACACATAGTCTTGGTGAAACACGAATAGGAAGTTCAACACACGACGTTCACACGTTTACACCCAAGAGCTTAATAGAATTGGCCCACACAATAGTTTTATTTTTCTTCATTTTCACATGTCAGTCCGGTAAAGTTTCTAAATACTGCACAGGTTCTTTGACCTCGTTGGCCAGCAAGTATCCTTGCGCGTCCAATAAATCTTCTTGTGAGATCTTTCTCAATGGAGGTGGTCGTGGTAAACTTCTAACATTTTTCAAGTTTGTTTTTTTCATTTCGTTCTCATATTGTACACTAACAGCATCCTCGTCGAAACTTTCATACGCAAGCTCTAACTTGTCGCAAATATTAGGAAATTTTATTCTGTCTCTAGGTTCCGTCTTCCAACAATTTTTCATCAGTTCACAGATTAACGAAGGACAGTCTTCAGGTGGTATCAGCATGATGCCGTCCAAAATTAGCTTCACGGCTTCTTCGTTCGTATGACCATAATAGGGCTGCTTGCCAAAACTGTATATCTCCCACAGGACCACGCCGTAGGACCAGATGTCGGATTCGAGGGTAAATCGCCCATAAAGCACGCTTTCAGGAGACATCCATCGCACAGGCAGTAACCGGCTGCCTCCAATCTGAAAAGAAAACAACAGTGAATAAAATTATAGTTTTCAAACAGCGTTATTTAAAAAAAAACCTCTTTGTGGTAATTATACTAAAAAAGTTTTGTTGTAATAATTAACAAAACAACGAATTTTAATATTTTACAATAAAAGAAGCTAAACTGGGTCTTTTTTTATATTATTTTATGCAACCTTTATTTACTCTGGGTTGAATGTGAAATTTCAAAGACAATTGCAATTTTTAATTTTTAAAGAAAACTAAAGAAAAAACAAAGGCTGTAAAAATATGTGCGCAGTGAATTTTTCGCAGACTGCTTTTGTATACTAATAAAATTTTATAGCCCATTAGTGTTATTTGGGTCAACAATATTTGGCGCGAACAACGTCCCGACTACCTTGTCAGTCTGTGGTCAGGGATGTATTCAGTTGTACACATTCACTTGGATAAATACTGAGGTACAATAATTTCATAATGTTGAAAGTCAACAATATAACACAAACAACCATTCACAGAACGTTACAGACTGAGATCATATATCGACCGAGCGTCTGTATTTTATGGGTTCACTGATTAGAGTTTTGGTTGTTGAACTTGTAGGTTGTAAAATTGTATTAATATACAAAAATACTATGCTTATAACACAGTCGCGTATCATAGACTAACATGAAACGTTAATTGAACACTTTAATTTTATCTAATTATTGTTTTGACAAACAAGACAGCAAAATTGCATGACCAGTTTCATATGACATTACGTCCAATTCTCTATCAAAATGTGTTAAAATTGAAAGATTATAAAACATAAACGGCTAATCAGTTTTACCTATTTAACTCTGTGTTACTATGGCAATTTGACATCCTTTAAATTTAACAAGTTTTCAGAGAATTGCCCCTAATGACTTATAAACACTCTGCGTTTCATAAATAAAGTCAGTTTTACATAGGTATCGTTTGAGCAACATAATTTGTAATTGAGTCATCCTTGGAATTGAATTCGTATGTCTTCTCTGAAATGGTATGTCTAACGCTGCATCTAAAGATACGTGTTAGAAAAGTTTTTAACAAAATTTATTTTAATTGTAAACCTAATATTTAAAATAGACAACCAAAAAGGGAAAAATTAAAATCCCTATCAACTGATTTTTAACGTTGATATAATTTTACGTCAATCAACTTCGCTGTAACTTTAGCAACTGTCTCATGGAACTTTAGCAACTCTCTATTCACACGGCTTGGGAAGAATTTCTCAACGACATTGTCGACTATGCCCATTTTTGCAAAACATTACAACAATGTGTGACAAAGTTCCGAAAAACTTCGTCTCCTCAAAGAGAGGAGAGAGTGACAGGTTGAAAGGTAAGAGAACTGCAAAGTTGAAAGGTAAGAGAACTTGCAGAAAATATTGGAAATGTTAAACATTATTGCAAAAATTATATTTTCCTAATAATTTCACACATATTGTTTAAAAAAATATATATTAAAAAGTGTCCGCCATTTTTGCTTTCACATTTTTTTGACATTTATCGGTGCGGTTTAATCAGCAACATGCTAAATCCTTTCCATGGAAGATTCGATTACAAATTAAGTATATTGATCGTCGATATTTCTTTGAATTAACAAAAATATAGGTACATCTATATTTAGCTACGATGTTTGACACGTGTCACACGCAAACGCAGTTAAAAGTTGATTTAGAATTGTCATCAGTCCCGTGAAAATTTAACGTTAGTGTTATATTTCTTCTGTTACCAGAACTCGTCTTCACGTATTAGTGCCTACACCTGTGAAAACGTTTTCAAGACAACATTAAAGAGAATTGACGCTATATTTTTCTGCAGATGACTTAGTGGATTGTCACGGTATTTCTATATTATGGACCCCTTTGATACAAAAGCAAATAACTGAAACCTGTTTGTAGATCCTTCAAACTTCAAAGTAAAGTTTAAAAGGAGTGTTACTCCATTTCTGCCACCTATTCAGTATATTCAAAAGAAAATTACGAAAATATTAAATTACTTTTGAAAAAATTCATTATAATATTGCAGCTGTATGGTATCCACCGAATTTAAAGCAATGCGGTTGCTTTTTAGTATGCTTTTTAGTCAACAGCCGAACACACAAAAACGTCATGCTTTTATGAGAACGGAATAACAGAACTAAACACCGTTAAACGAGAGAAGATCTCTTACCTTAAAATAACACATTTCCATTATCACAAGTCATATCGAATAATAAAACAATTTATCCCGCACATTAAAAACATGAAAAAATTGTTTTAAATACTTTTACTCCAAATTTTCATCTCTTACATAAGTATTTAAAATTTAAGTAGGCTCCAGGTTCGAATACTTATGTTGATGAAAAAATAGAAATAACGAGAAAAGTGGCTTTAAAAATGCCGGTAATAACTTTTTAAGTAACAAGGAAGTCCTTAATTATGTAGCCGTCGTAGTTAACATGCTCATGACATTTAAAACTTTAGTCTGAAAGATGAGTGCAAAATTACATTTTTTTGCACGTTTATCTAGATTATTTTCCGGAAAACTCGAGAAAAGTGAGCAGGGGAGAAAAAGATCTTAAGGAAGCGAAATAGAGACAGACTGCGGCTAGACGTTTCAACGCGACTCCACCAGCAACGCTAAACCGCCGAGGAGATCAACAGGTTGAAATTTGTTCCAAACCAATAGTGACAAAAAATTAATTCTTTTACTATTTTAATGAATCGCATTCTACTTTTATTTTTTCTGATACAATTTTCGTAAAAATGTATTTAACTTGTCCGCAATAAAATTCGCAATAGGACGTAGTGATCACATTGAGGCATTAAGTGATTAAAAAAAAAAAAAAAAAAAAAAAAAAAAAATAAAACCACAACATCACGTATATAAATATTCGTGTCGGCTGTGCAGTTGATCCCTCAAATAATTGGATTTTAATTGAAATTTATATTCACTTGTGTGTAGTTTTTGAAGTTAAGTTGTTTATCTATCAGCTGATATAAAATTCTTATCACCGCTGTAAAAACTAAGCGGTAAGTTTGCTCTTTTTCATCCACAACTAATTGTGATTAATTTGACTCTTTTTTCCTATTGTCTCATTCATTATAAATTATAACTAACACCTTTCCGTTGCCCGTGATCTTGTTTGTATACATTTTGACAAGTCGCTGTAAAGGGCACTACCAGCGTGAAGCGTGTGTCCCTGTTTTTCCTCATTCCTGAATATTCACTAAAAATGAGCACTTCCTGTACTTGCTGCGGCAGAAATGCTGACTCTTGTAAGATTGTTAATTGCTGTGTCTGCGGAAAATCTTACAAAATTGAATGCGTTGATTTAACAAACGCAGAGGCACGCAAAATTCATCAAAAGTCGGGTCTATCATGGTCCTGTAAGAACTGTGCCAAGATTGGGAGTGATATCAACAGCTTGAAGGCAGTTATTGTTGCATTGCAAGAAGAAATTAAAGTATTAAAATTATCTGTATCTACTGTGTCTCCTTCTACTGCAGCTTCTGCATCGCTGTTTCAGACAGAAAAAGTCATCCAAGAGGTGTCAGAAAGGAATAAGCGTAAATGCAACATCATTATTTATGGGCGCTCTGAATTAATCAATAAAAATAAAACTGAACAATCTGAGGCTGATACTGTGTTTGTAAAAGATGTTCTAACAGCTTTAAAAATTGGTGACCTGGGGGATCTTAAGCCAATCAGACTTGGGAAATATGATCCAACTAAGCAAGACCGGCGTCGTCCAATCAAGATTACCCTTTCGTCAGAAGAAGATGTGGTGTCCGTACTTCGTGCATCTAAGTCCCTGAAAACGACTGATCCTTGGAAAAATATTTTCATATCTAGAGACCGTACTAAGATGCAAAATGAACTATACAAAAGCGTTAGAAATGAATTGCATGAGCGTTTGTCAAATGGGGAGCAAAATCTTATAATAAAATACAAAGATGGAATTCCAAACATAGTTCACTCGGAAAACTAAAGGCGCCCGGCAGATTACCATTTGCTCTAAACATATATTACCAAAATGTGCGTGGCTTACGGTCAAAGATTGAATCTTTTTATACAAGTGCGTCAGATCGTTTTTATGATATTGTAATTATTGCAGAAACTTGGCTGATTTCATCACTGTACAATTCAGAATTATTTCCTCCCTATTATAATGTGCTTCGTTGTGACAGAAATCTTAATACCACTGGACGTAAAACTGGTGGTGGTGTCTTAATAGCCCTGGCTGATCATATAACTTACAATGCCGTTGATGTGTCCTTAGTAAGAGAGCTTGTACCCCTTATAGATATAATTATGTGTTGCTGTAGTGTTCATTCGTTTCGATTTTTCATGATTGGTGTATACATACCACCGGATGTGTCTAGTATCGATCTAGAGGTGTTTCTTGAAGCACTGGGCGCTTTGATCTTGGACAAACCAGTTATAATTATTGGAGATTTTAACTTGTCTCAATACAGTACCAACTATGTAGTACGTAATGTGTTTTGCAGTAAATTAAACAGTTTTCTTGATTTTTCTCAAACAGTAAATCTTTCTCAGTATAACAATATCTTAAACTTCAACAATCGTTTACTTGACTTCGTTCTCTCCAATACTGATTTCAAAATCAGTGTTAATCTTGACCAACAATCATTTGTTCCACCTGATCCCCATCATCCTGCTCTGCATATTGAAACAGAATTCTTGATTTCTTCCAAACTCCCACGGTTTCCATGTGATAATAATCGACGTTATAATTTTCGGAAAGCCAATTACAATAAGTTATACAGTGACCTTCTACATACTGATTGGTCCTTCCTTACAAATTTTGAAGATGCCAATGTTGCACTTGATCACTTTTATACAGTACCAACTATGTAGTACGTAATGTGTTTTGCAGTAAATTAAACAGTTTTCTTGATTTTTCTCAAACAGTAAATCTTTCTCAGTATAACAATATCTTAAACTTCAACAATCGTTTACTTGACTTCGTTCTCTCCAATACTGATTTC